GGTTGGGGCGTGGGGAGGGGGGAAGTATAAGGGGATTTGGGAGAGGGAAGCCGGGTAGGATTGTTGGTATTGTTGGTGGTATGGTGATGTGATGTCTGGGGTTGGGGTTGGGAGGTGCTGGTGGGGATGATGGTGATGTTGCATGAAGTATTGTTGTGGATGGGGCAGATTGTTGTTGTCGGAACTGCTACTACTCCCGAGTTCGGCTCGAGATTCCAACATGCGTGTTTCGCCGCCGCTTGGAGATGTGGATGGGCGGTGGGATAGACCGGCTTTGCGCTTTATTTCCTCTTTTAGGGATTTGGTGCGACCCCAGAAGAAGAAGAGGAGGGCGGCGAGGATGGTGATGCTGGCGCTGGTGACAGACATGGCAATTATGGCGCGGGTGGAGAGGCGGCTCTTAGTGCTGGCTGTATTTTCTGGAACTGGACTGGATGTTGGAGTGCTGGTCGGCGGGTTACTCGGTGAGAGTGTTTCGGCTGGAAAGGGTTCGCCTGGGTTGAGCATGTACATGCTGTCCAGTGCCAGCTGTTGCTGCTCCTGTACACTCGCCGAGGCGTTGGGGTTAATGGCGCCTACCATTCCATAGTTGATACAACTGCCGGGGGCGGAGCAGTAGAAGAAGATGGGGTCGGTATCATTAATGACGATACGGTATGTGGGTGGTGACGACAAGACCGTGTCGACGGGATGGAAGTCAGAAAAGAACCCTATTTTGGATGCTCCTGTCATCTCGTAGGGTATACATGGGAAACCGTACTCGGCGCGAACAACGCTGTGGTTGAGCGGGTAAAAGGCAAATTCCACAGTCTACGTAAACAGTTAGGATAGAGTTCGGTATCGAGAGTAGCAGGCCAGTTTACATCACCGACGTTGGCCATCGTTGCCTCGGGTCTGAACTTGTGATCTGCTAGACCAACTTGAATCGTATGTGTCTGTGCCGGTGCTGTGATCGTCGAGCTCGGTTGGCCTGGTGTTATCACTGACGCTGTTACGACTTGAACACTGTCGTGTGCCAAGCATGTTGTAGGAAGTTGGATAGAAACAAGTAGAAATTGAACAAGTGCAGTCGCCCAGCACCGTGACCCACGCATTTTCACAATTATTATTGTAATAGTAAAACTTTTTGAAATGAGTGGCCTGCACGTCTGTCTTCAATAGTGTAGTGAGATCAAAGGAAGACTTTGATTCCGAGAAAGAAAGAAAAAAAACTCAACATGAAGGGACATAGTCAGTGCTACGGTCCACTTCCTTACCATGGCAGTGGTAATGTAAACAAGGACGCATATACGAAGCACGCAGCTCAACATGTCAAAGAATGCTCATGGGTAGCCCACGGCTGGGGCGTTCGAGATGAGCCTCCCATATACCATTTGTTTGCGCTATACAGTTTTCGGCACAGCTACAACAAAGGGAATGACCCGAATTGGAGAGACTCGGTGGCCTCAAGCGCGCGCCACGGCGCCAACAAAGACAGTGATACAAAGAGCCTCGGTATTGCACGTCCGCTAGAGGAGCATCTGCAAGCATCATAACTCGAATACCCGGACATGTTTGAAAAGGGACGGGGGTTAGATTTCAGCCTCAACCCCGCCGCATTTCAGAACCAGGACTGACAGGGATGCAGGGGCAGGGCCAGCCAATGGGCACACATGTTCGAACGCAACATCTTCTACGTAAATTGCCAGGATCCTCACGTGGACAGAATGCAGTCGACGTCCATGTAATGATTCTGCACGACACGACAACGTGTGTACATGCGAGTGATCGGGACAAGGGTTGAAATCTTAAGTGCTTTTGATTATTGATATACTATACAACAAAATAGAAAAGGAGAGGAGTGGTCCGACAAAGCATACCATATCTAGTAACATAGTGCTGTGCGACCTGGTATATTCCGTGCAAGTGCTCGGGTGGATTCACAACGTACTAGTAAGACACCATGACCGTGACTCCTGTTGACATGATAGTCTGGCCGCTCTTTTCAGTCAGATAAACAGACTGAAGCCGGTAATGTCCACGATGACAAAGCACCCCGTGTTACTGCGCCATGCGCTTGGATCGACTCAAACGCATGTGCGGCGATCAAAGATGTCAACGACCAGGGTCCCCGAACCCAAATGGATCATTGCTAGCGGAACTGTTGGACCCAGACCCGTAACCTGACGGGGGCACAGACAATTGCTTCCCGCCGAAGCCGTTTGGATCTGGCAACGGGTTCCAGATAGGAAAGCCATCTGGAGGCTGACTCTCGCCTACTGGTTTACCACGAGCATAGTCGACAAGGCTGCCGTTGATTCCAGTAAGCGCCCAAGCAAAGACGGCAACGTCACGAATGCTCTTCATGAAGCTATTTTGAAAGTCCATCGAGGGTCCCGCATGTTCCATGGCCGGGTGTCGCGCACCTAGAGGGTACTGAGGCATCTGCGGCGGCGCAGGATGGAACACGGGTTGTGTTGCCCAGGGAGCCGCAAAGACACCATTGTACTGGTGGGCTGGCTGTGCAACAGGCATAGCGCCTGGCAACATTGGGCGCGCACGACGCAGGCACACGACAAGTCCGTCCGAGGTGCACGATATAACAGCTTCGAGTTCGATGGGTTCATCACGGGGCTCAGAACGAGGCGAGCTCGCAGACGAGATGGAAGAGCGGGGCGCAGAGCCGCCGAACATTGCCTGGTGAGTGGCTGAGCCAGCTGAGCGATAGCTAGGATATTCCCTTGAGTTTGAGCGCGAGGCTGATGGCTCTGCACTCCCGTTGGTGCTGTTGTTTGCAACGGAGGGCTGTCTAGAACTAGCACCACCTGGTGTGCCAAGCCCAACACCACCCTCAGACTCTTCGTCTGAGCTAGTCACATCGGTCATGAGATCGTCCTCACTTTCAGAAGAGCTAGCTTCTGGTGGGTCGTCCTGACGGGGGTCTCTGAAGAAGAAGCGCATGTACGCAATCGAGTCGTTACCTTTGGCCGACTCAAGACAGCGGACGGCATCCTCGAGACAGTTTGGGGCTATGCAGTAGTAGAAACTGCGTCCCTTCATAGCCTCGCTCGAGATGCCAATAATCTGCTCTATGCCGCTGGTCGCGTACATGACAGTCAAGGTGCGGGTAAATCTGTTGAGGAACAGGGCAGCTCGGGGCTCATGGGTCTGGTCCTCGTGGCCAAGGTCAAACTTGGTTGATAAGTGAGACAGCATATGATAACGAGGGTCTTTTGGGGAAGAAGCGAATAACTTGCGGACTATGGGCGCCTCAACTGCACGCTCTGATTGGTGCGGGTCAGCATGCATGGAGTGACAAATGGAGTTAGAAGCTTACTCTGACTCTGCATGCCCTGCCGGTAGACGCTGGTGCAGCATACGAGCACATCGTAGACGACCGAGAAGCAGCATTCACAGCCAACCCACTCGCCCTGGCGATTCTTCAGGCGGCAGTAAGACAGGACGGCAGCCTTGTCGAGCCTCACGCCGCGGCTGTGCTGTGCTTTGGCGAGAGGAAGTTCGTCTGGATGGAAAAACTGCCACACGGACCTGTTGACGACCTCGTCGGGAGTGTGGCCGAGGATGTCGACAATGGAATCAGACGAGTACAGGATGTGGGCATCGTCGGAGAGGTCTGTCGAGGCTGAGTGTGGGTTCCGGAGAGACGAGATGGAAGGGACATACCATGGATGGTGATGAAGGTGGTGTCCATTGCGGCAGGCAACAAAAGGGTGAGGTAGCAGCTGTGTTTTGGACCGTGGTTGGACCACTCTTGCCCCCAAGAGACTGAATCTAATAATTCGCTCTAGGAGAGGGGACGTTGTCGGACGATCAGGCGGCGAGGGAGCGCGGGCTGATCAAATAGTAGTCAGGGTCCAGGTGGGACGAGAGCACGTTGGCCGGACCGTTGCGCACGGATGCGAATAGCGACGAGGGAACGCAAGGCAGTGAAACGGGTGCGACGCGAGACGAGCACGCTGTTGAGAGTGAATGGGACAAGAGGCTGGGAAGGGTGCGAGTCAGTTGCAATGATGTAATGCGAGATCACAGCGTATCCACAGCCCCTCACCCTCGTCGGCGCAGGAATGGAGCAACGCAGTAAGGATATATGAGGCAGTCCAGGGATAGGGCGCGCCGCAACAAGCTAGAGGTTAGGAGCACATGCAGAATGCAGCGTGTGGAAGTGAGCAGAAAGCTACGAGAGGGCCGAAAGTGACGCGCACCGCACCCCTGTGAGGCCGGAAAAAGGCGGTTGGTTGACGTTGGGCCTGGCTCGCTTGTGGGGTCACAGGGAGGAGTTCCGGATGGTGGGAACGACGCCTGAACAATGCGAGCGAACAGAGCGAACGGCTGCAGCTGTGCCGGGGCCGGGACAGGGAGGTGAGCAGGGCAGAGGCGTGATGAGGAGACGATGGTATATAGGAGCAGTGGGTAGTGGAGACTGGGCGATACGAGATCAGATTCGAAGATTGCCGTCGATTATAGTACGCAGTGTGGGCCAGCACGTACTAGGTCAGTGGCAGGCGCAGGGCCAGAAAAGAAAAGAAAAGAAGGCCAAAAGGAACCAAGAGCTAGGAGGGCTGATCAAGACGGGCTCGGTAGGTGGAGGTGGCGCCCCGGGAGCGAGGCGAGACTTGGGGGAGGAGGGTGAGGCATGGGCGTCGGCTAGCGTACCACTGTGAGCAGCGGGGGTCGACAAGCAGCACAGAGCCAGAGTGTCACCTGTCAAGACCAGGCCGGTGTTTGAGAGCGTTCAGGGCATGGCAAGGGGCGGGCATATGTGACAGCGGAGACATGTGCTAGGCGGGGGATGCGTATTCCTCAAATGGCCTTGGGCTTAGCGGCAGCAGAGGGGAGTGCAGCGAGGTGGCTACGGGAGGTGTAGTGTACGTGGTAGTTAGCAGGGCGTGTGTAGCCAAGGAGCCCTGCCCATCACCACATGGGCGCTGCAGCCCGTCCGCTAGCGACCTCTGCCCCCAGCCTCTCGCCGTCATCTCTCCGGTCCCAGCGCAGCGCTGTGCAGTCACGCCTCCCTCCACTCATACGCACGTACGGCAGTACTTACATGGACTCCCCACCAGGACCTGCCCCTTGGCCTCTCCGTCCTTGTGCGCACTCAGTGGTGCTACCAGCTGGTTACCTCGTTGTTTCGGCCACTCAACTGCATTTCGTCATCGGCGATCCTTCTGCCTACGCCACACGCCACATGCAAGCCACCCATGCCCACGTCCACGCCCCCTCATTGGCAGCTGCGCTTGTAAGCGCCTAAACCATCTTCTTTCACCTCTTCTCCGTTTGCGACTCCCGCCCGCTTTGGCAAGACCCCCCAGAGGAAAAAAAAACTTCCCACATCCCCGGCTCCCACCCCCTCCGCCTCATTTCTGGCTTCAAGGCCCGATTCTTATCAAGCAGGTGCAGGGCGAGACCCCACCCAAGCCCTGCTCTGCACATCACCCCCTCGCCCTGAGCTTTTTTTTGGCATCACCGCCAGACGCATGCCAAGATGGAAGCCAGCTGGGAATTGCCTACTCTGAGGGGCACCATCCGACTAGGCGTAACCCACCCAACTCAGCTGGGCGTTAGCGACTACTAACTCTCCCCCAGGGCCAAACAAAGTCTAAGCTTAGCTCCAGTAAGGTCGAATCAGGCCTCACTACATGCATCGCTGACCACTTTTGTACTAGCCCAATTCTACGACGTCGACTTCTATCCTTACACTGCACCCGGCCTGGATCCCGTTTTCGCTGTCTGTGGCGGCCCGTTTGTACGTCTCATGCTGTGCCTGGTCCTGCACGCCCAGTGCTGATTAATCTAGACTATTGTCTGTCGATGCATTCTCGACAAGAATGGTACCATCGAGATCTTGCGCTGGTTTGAAGATGAGGAAAGCACTGCAGAAAATGGTTCAGCGAATCCCAAGGTTAGTCGCCGCGCCCATGGCTTGCTCTTGCTAATGCAATCCTTCCTTGCTTCAGCAAATCAGGTACAACAGTGTCGTATGGTCTCAGGCTACCAATGGAGACCCACTCGTCTGCGTAGCTTGCGACTCCCGTATCAAGGTTCTCAATGTCCGAACTGGCGAACTTTCGGCGGCATGTTCTGCGGCACCCATCCTACACCATCCGCTGACGTATGGCACAGACGCTGATAGGCCATGGCGATGTAAGCATATCTGCTGCAAGTCACATACACATCTGACGCCAAGCAGTCCGTCAACGACCTTGCCATATCCCCGGTCGATCCCACCATCATCGCATCAGTCAGCATTGACCACAGCCTCCGATTGTGGAGCCTGCACCCTTCGCATGAGAAGCAACCGCTTGGGGCCGTATGCTACGGCCAAGGTCACAAAGATCAAATCTTGACCCTAGTGTGTAACTTGCCAGTGTGGCCAATGAAATCAACTGACATTGGCAGTCGTATCACCCCAAAGGAAAATACATCCTTACTGCGGGTATGGATACCAAGATCAATCTAGTAGGTTCTTCGCAACAAGAGGTGCTAGAAAGCTCTCTTCTAACAATACATGCAGTGGGCTGTCCCGGATGATCTCAAAGAACATGCCGGAACCGATAAGCCGGTAATGGTGCATTACCCGCATTTTTCCACGACTGAAATCCACACCGATTTTATAGACTGGTACATAAAGCATGCTCATTCCGGGTTACCGGGTTACATGTACTGATTTTTGCTAGTATCCAATGGTACAATGATCTGATTTTTAGTCATGCATGCCGAGAAGGCAAGATCATCCTCTGGAGTATCGACCATTTCAGCTCAGACCATCCCGTTACGCCTCCTGCACCTATTCCGACATCAAGCGCAGTCAACAGTCGCACACCAGTCACAATATCAGCCAATCTGACATCAAACACACGGTCAGCATGGGGCGGTCGCTTCCAGCGTCTGCTCCAGTTTGATTTGCCACACACTAATCAGTTCTACATTCGCTTTTCCCTCTTCCACGAACTCGGCCATCATCCGATCTTGGTTGCGGGCAATGAAAAGAGCAAGACATTTTTCTGGGACCTTCAACGCCTTGAAAACTCTGGGACGGGAGAATCAAGTACAGGGGATGATAAGCTCTATGCCGGAAAAGAATTGCCGCTGGGTCTTCCCCGACATGTTCGAGAAGGCAGCTCAGCCTCGACCGCCTCCTCTGCCATTAGCGCCGGCTCCGGGAACACTAAGATGAAGCAAAAGAAAGTGAAGGAGGTTGTTCGTGATAGAGGCATATCCGACCCTTTCCGCTCCATCAAAGCACACAAGATTGTGGAGACACCAAAGTACAAAGCTTTCGCCTTTCGCCATTTTTCATGGAGCCGTGATGGCCAGTGGTGTGTCGCTGTAGGCGATTGTGGTACCATCAATGTCTTCAGCCGTTGGGAAAAAGGCGTGCCGCCAATGAACCCTGACCAGGAGATAACAGTACAAGATGAACCAAGTATTAGTCAGTGATATGTCCCTAGTACATGGCTTGGTACGAAAAACGCAGCATCACTCCACTGACAAGTAAATGTCAGAAAAAGGGAGAAGCTGTGAACTAACCTAGTGTATGCATAGACAAGAAGAAAATCACTGACACTTTTCATGTCATGTCAGAGGCACACGCGTTACGGAGGCAGATGGCAGCTGACCAGGGTGAACCTTTTGAGGAAGACTTGAAGACCCTTTTGGGTGAATATGTAGATGGATTGCCGGAGCACGAAAAAGAGTTTGCCCAATCACTTGATAAAGAGTAGAGTGGGACATGGTGGCTTAATTGGTACTACGACGATAGCCAATGCCATAGAGATGCCACATAATGACTTCATTCACACCCTACTCTTCATTCTCACATAATACACACAGCAGACAGAAGACGAGAAAAATAAGAATTAACTCTCACAAGTCCTAACTCATTCTCTTGTTCGCCCAATCATATTATAGAAAAGCATTCCTTCTCTTACTATGTATGTATAGTCATCCAGTTTAACCTTCTCCTAAACAGTGCCATATCCTGATAGATACCTTCTCTCCACAAAGCACCCGTAGTAAGTGCAGACATCCCGCCCTTCTTAGAACACTATTGGTGATGTCGTCCACACTCCTCCACATAGCGCAACCATATCCCCCGAGGAGCGTCGTTGTATCCACAGTGCATACCTCTGTCTCTTTGATACAAGATCTGTCCAACAGTCTCCTCCTCATGACACTGTATCCCAAACCACGTAACCATCCTATTCACCCAGCTCCCCCGTCCCAGCATATTTATATACGCAGGTTTGTCATGCATTTGCATACCTTCTGGAAGTTTCAAACCAGTGCATCGGGTGATGCTCATGGTCAAGACATCAACCTCGTTGTCCAAGGTGCTCGTGTTTTTGGAGCTGCTACGCCCGAAATTTGCTCCTCATCAGGAGTCTTGGACGTTTCGATGGTGTCGTTCTGGTCTGCGTCGCTGTATCTTTGATAGCAGAGCTCTGGAGCGTACACCGCAAACGCTCAGCATGCAATTAATGATCTCTTGCTTTGTCGGATTCGAACACCACACGATGACCTTCTCGATTGTTGTTGTTGCGATATGTATATAAAGTTTGGCGATCCATGCGCCATGGTAAATCTCCGCTGGGGGGCGGGGAGAGCGGGGAGAGNGAGAGGGGGGGGGGGGTGGATGATTTGCGTTTGAACCCTGTCTCTTGCCATCCCTCTTTAAAAAAAACCCAAATGTAGTGGTTATCGTATATACATTGTCCAGTTGGATTGTTGTTGCTGTATATACGGTTTGGAGATCCATTCAGTAAATGGCAATCTCTTTGGGAAACGAAGGATCTGCCTTTTCCCTCTTCTTTCCCTTGCTGTTTCTGTTCAGGAAGAGCTTCGTATCGGGGGTGGCTCTGCTACTGTCCTTCGTAGCCGGCTTTCGTCCCAGTAGAACTTGTAGTCGAGACATCTAGATGGGCATTCTCCAGCTCAACGCAAACACATTTGTGATTCTGATTGTTCCTCGCTGTTTCGTGTAAGAAGTGGTCATGTCCGGGATCCAGTCATCCATAATACAGAAGATGTGTATAGGGGCATTTTTGGATCGATGATGATGCCGCTAGTTGTCTCAGAAATCGTCTTCGTTATATGAAGTATTCGTCAACAACAGGACTGGCTTGTGCACAAATAGGTGTTAATGTCTATAAGATATTCGTCAGAGCAAGGCTTGGATGCCGAAACATGGTGAACTTGGTGTGTTCAACCGAATGAGTATGGTGGTTGTTGTAGTCGTAGTCGGAGATGGATGTGTAATTTATTTGAATGACCTTGATAACTACTGGAGACGAGTTTGTTTGAACATGGTGCACCCGAGTATGGTATATGGGCTATGTAATCTTCTTCGGGAGGATTGTGCCTTTTATATCGCGCAGGCGACATATGAAGTTTTGGCGCGACGACGCCGGAGCTGGGTGGTGAAGAAGGTATATGCATTCCATATACCATCTAAGCTGATGCAGGTTCTTCGATCTAGCTTCCGATCCTCGTATACTGGCGGAGATGAATGTTTCGCCCATCCTTGGGACAATACTACTGACCATAAAAAATCTTTCAAGTATGTAGGGGGATCTTGTTTCTGAAAGCCGCCTCTAGTGTCTGAGCACTGCCAGGGATCTGGTGTCGGAACATACGATAGGTTGCAGCGTCCAACTACGCTTGATATATCCACAAGCCGCTGGTCATCGGTGACCTTAAAACCTGCCACGTTCATACACCAAACTTTGGTAGCCTTTTGCTAATTCTCCCACGAGTCCCTTTCTACAATATTCATTGCTGTCTTCATAGTAGAGCAGCTTTGGGAAAGGAACTGGATTAATCGTGAAAACTGTGTTTGGATGAGCCAAACACCAAAACGCCAAAGGAAAATCCAGTCCACTTGAACTACACAAAGACAAAGAACTGATCACCATCTCAAACGGGATCTTGGCCACCCGAACCAGGCTGAGGAGGATCAACTTTCTTATCGTCAGAAGAGGCAGGAAACTGGCGTGCTAACACGCGAGTAGCCTGATGAGCTAGCAACTCCTGTTGATTAGCATCTTTCAAGGCCTTCTCGGCTTGAGCGCGCAACAACTTAGCACGAGCCTCACAAGCTGAAATGAACTCCCGATACCCAGCCTTAATGAACGAATTATCAGGGTTATTCTCGGCAAGGCTTCGCTCAAGGCTCGGCTTAGCAGTACGCTGAACGAACGAGTCTATGGAACGCTGCTCACTTGGACCCTGACGTTGCTGTGAGCGACGGGAGCGCTCAAGGGACGGATTGGCGATAGGCCTCGACGGGTATGCGGGCTGAAACGGAGTTGGAAAACGCGACCGAGCACCGCTAGATGGAGACCCCTGCGACCCATATGAAAATGGATTGGGTGACAGAGCGAAGGGGGACTCAGGGGCCTTATACAGCCATCCATACCGCTGAGGACGAGACGGAGTATCATAGCTAGGCCAATCAATCTCTGAACGACGCTCTGAGTCACGGCCAGATCGATGACCACCTGAACGACCAGACCTAGACTGAGACAAAGCATACTCATTTGACGCTTGACGAGCATGTTTCCTTGGAGTCTCATATACGCTACCACGAGGAGGTGGGCTAGCGAGGTATTCGGGGGAGTATCGAAGTCCTCCTCAGCGTCAACTTGGATATCATCGTCGACATCGCTGTCCCTGTCATCTCCTTCCTCACGGTCTCCTATACCCGTGTTACAAGCGTCCTCGCGGTATCTATTCTCGCGCTCTTCTGTGGGAGAATGCTGAAAAAACAAGGATGTCACCTTATGATTGATCGAGTAGAAGCGTCGAGGCAAGCTGTGTGGCAATCTGGAATCAGGAAAAGGCATAGCTGGCTGCTGGCTATATTCTTGCCGCTGCTGCTCGATATTGGTGTTGTCATCAGTCTTATCGTTGTCGCGTAGAGCCTCTTGGGATGCTTTGATACCTTTTCAGAAAAGAAGTCTTCCTTCATACGAGAACTTCCGGGTCTGCGATGTATTGTTCGTGTAGAACTCTGCGGGAATGTTCGGCCTGTCATTTTGTGTGTTAGATATACGGGTGGGGTCCTTAGCTCGACGACAGCAGAATGGAGCGTATCAAGGGTTGCATTTGTCGTACAATGTAGATGTAGGACACTCGTTAGAGTTGCTAATACTGCTTTCGCTAGAAGCATATGGGCCAGGAGAATTCAAGTGCAGCTTGAGCTTGATGCTGCCTCGGTTTGAATGACCTGACCACTGGCGTGAATCTCGTCATTTCATCGTATGCGTACATGTATGATATATTCTCCCCATCAAGTTGCTGTTATGCATATAATTGACAGGAATGCTCTCCCAGTTTTGATTTCTTAGATGTTTTCGAATGTTCCTTGCCTTCATGGTGGTTGTCGATATTTGCGTGTGCTCCAATATAGGCGCCAATATTGAATCGACGCTTGGGACTAATTATTCGAATCGCGCACCTTCCTATAGAATCTTGTGCAGACTCTGCTTGTGAGTCGACGACGATGTGTGTGTCTCACTGCCATAGCAGTCTTCGGCTTTGTATAAAGTGTGTGTATTCCAACGACATGTCCATCAGCTTCGATTCCTCGATGTAATTTTGCCGACGCAGCTCTTGCCGAATTTATATGCTCTTGTCGCTCGACGCTGTAGTGAGCCATTCGAATGGGTTCTTGCCCCATGCAAAGTGCATGCTGGTGTGCACCAATTCGATGAGAAAGATACAACCCAGAAGCCCCTACTCGCCAGGACAGTGAACCTCGGAGGGCAGATTGTTGTCCAATTTTTCAAGTATCCGATGCAGATTCTGCAGTATGAAGGACAACTCTTGCCTTTGCCGTCGTCTTAGGAGAAGCGACAAAGGCGAAGAGAATTTAGCATCGCGCTATGTACAGAGCAAATATTATATTGCAGCTCATGCTCGTATCCAAAAGCTTGAATTCGTATGGCAGATCCATTAGGTCCATTGGCATCTCCCTGTCTTCTTCCAGGAGCCTTATGTGCTGCTTAGAAAGTTCTCGAAGGAGTTTATGTACGTAACAAAGGAGGGAGTGGTGTGATTCATTCATAATCGAAAACTGAGCTGTTCTTATACTCGTTGTAGCTGCCATCTCTATTGCTGCTATGATTGCATATTGAAACTATATTTGTCGTTGCTTTCGTGTTCCAACGGCCGTTATGATTGCGATTGCAATTGTTCATACTGTTGCTACTACAATCACCATCGCATGGCTTACAAAAACATTCTACTCATTGTTAAATACGCAAACACAACCAGACTGGGTAGCCCCACTCATGTGTTTTTGTGGCAAGAAAACTTCCAAGCGTCATGTTCACATGTGTGGGAGTTTGCCATCTATCATTGCGCCGTCACACTGTGAGTGCACTGCCAGACTCAGAATGTAGTGGCAGTGCTGAACTCAGGATGCCAAAGTAATCTCAGATTCCCACAACAAGGAAAACACAAACCAGCACACCGCCAAATTGGAAATGCATTCACCAGAATGAGCTCGGACATCGTCAACGGAGAATAGCTCCCGCAGCTGAGTTCAGCCCTGCCAGCCCTGCCAGCCCTACTCGCCAGCCACCTGTCCGCTCCCTCCACACGCAGACAAATTCTGTGTGTACCATACTCGCCACGATGAATACTGTACGGAAAATAACCCTTTCTCTCAACAATCAAAAAAGCAACTGCCGGAGCAATCCAGACCAAAAAACCCCGACGACACCCCCTTCCAACGCGAACGCGAATAGGGACAAAAAGAATCAAACAAGCATTCATCCTCCCGCTTCCGCAAATAGCAAAGAAAAGGGGAATTCGGCAACAAAAGCAAAGACGCGTGAAAACAGCACCCAGCCAAACGGGGCAGTCATGTAACTCTCGCTTTGTTTTCCAGCCTCCTGCACCAAAGCCCACGTGGGTAAGCGAATGGACTAGGGTGATCCTGTTCTCTTTTTCTTTTTTATCAGCCAATTCCTTGCCTCGCTTGCCCTGCCTTGCTGCAGGTGCAAAAGCGATCGTCAATGCAGGTTAGCGGGCTGGACGGTGGCGCAAAGCAAGTGCCGGTGTTCCGGCTGTTGGCAAACAAGGTAACCACACAACAAAACAAATAAAAAAAACATAGTTTGTATAGCTGCAACATTCAGATTAATAGTTGGGGTTTTTACTCTCTAACAAGTTCCAAATAATTGTACTGAGTCATATTTGGGCGCGTAGGCGTGGTGCTTACTCGCTCGCTCGGTCATGTTTCAAACACAACAAGGAAGGATGTTTCAGTCTTGAGGTTGGCAAAATAAACAATGCCCGTGGATTTATCATGGCGGCGTTAAAGGCATAGGGGTTTGAGCGAGTGCGAGTGCGAACACGAATACAGATAAGTGTATTGTTGAGAAGTAATGATGTCTTCTACAGTATGGGTGAGAGAAGAAGGAATGTAGGTACAAACAGTATGTTTTTGTCTCTCTCCCTTGCAGATGGGCAATAGTATATGCATGCGTGTGGCGGATAATGGTGGCGTCAGATGGCGGCATATCGCTTTGCGAGATGTATCAACGTGTATGTCTCTCTGACGCAAGCGAACATGTATAAATAGGACGTAGGATAGTGAGATGCCTCATTGGCTGGAGAGGGAAATATCATTCCAAATCAGCATACGAGGCAGTGCCGAGGAGCTGTTGAGTTTCTTCTTCCATAGCCACGCAAGTGGCACAAGTGGCGTGTTGTCGAGTAGGATAGATCCTGAAATGGAAGTGTTGAAATTTCGAAAGCAACTTATGTGTTCTACTTTAGCGTATGAACATGATACTCTAAAAAACGACTGGCTGGAATGAGCACACGAAGACTAGACATGGCATGACCAGTACATCCGTTCAGCTCAGCCTCGTCGAGAGTCTTTTAAGCCCTGTCGATGAAGCACACCGTCACCTGACAATGTGGCTGGACTCTTCATAAGGTCCAGAACCCTTATCAATGGCCAGCGCGTCCATACGCTTGATGCATGAGCGGGGTTGCGGGGTTTGAGAATGGATCGTCTTGATCTGACGATGGCATTATGCCAAATGTGTACAGTCTGAGAGATCTAGAGCCAGATCCTCACACTCGCCAGACGCGGCTCTCCAGGTCTCACCGGCCTCGCCTATACTTGACCCGACCCTACGCCTTGTAGGCTGTGGCGAATATGCAGGCATTTCTGCAACGGAACGGCACGGCCATAGAGTGCCCAGAGCGCCTCTGGAGGTGTACGTGAGGTCGATTAGTCTCTTAGCGTACTGTGGGCGAGCTGAGTAAGGACTAGACTACGTCCCAAAGCAGCGGTGTGTTTCTGTGCTGCTACGGCTTAGGGAATAAACCAAGCTCACTAGTTGCGCCCCATTCCTAAGCGAACAATGGAGAAAACGATTTTGCAAAACCATGGTCTTGGAGGCACCGAGAGCGTGGATAGGTGAGTGACCTAAGCCCAGATAACGGTTTCTTGTCGTTGTCGCTCGCCTTGCCATTGATCAAGTATGGAAAACCTGCCTGGAGTGACACTTTGGCATCGTATCTTGCGCAAGCTTTGGGATACGAGTGGCATTGACAGAGTTGCTGGAATTCTTCAGGCCCACATTGACCGGCACCGGCGCTTTACGTCTGGCTTCTGAAGAGTGGTAGTCGAGCACACCTCAGGCAAGCCGCATGTAGTGGCTGAAATATTGTGGATCATGCTCGTGATGTGTGAGGCATGAACACGATCATTTGGTTTCAGCCTTGATGTGGCCAAACAGCAGAAGTGGGGGAAGCGCCTAGTATTCCATGGGCCCAGGCTTTGCGCCGACAGATGCACGTTCGAGACTTTTGTAAACGTGTATAGGCAATTTGCGATTACCATGGTACGTTACTCAGAGTGACGGAAAACGTCGTGCATTGACCGGACGCCCTCAGTCAAGCAATTGTTAAGTGTGCTCTTATTTTGTGCTGTAATGATCCAAAAGTCTCTTCGATCGGTTGAAGCCAGCCGCATGCCCAGTGGTGGGTTCTGACTCGGAACGTTAAAGGCGCTCGCTTCTAAGGCCTCGGAATCGGTTAGCGTTATGCAAGGAACAAGGTTGCTAGCATAGCCTCATGGCTTGTTGTGACCGTGACTGCCACGTTGGAGAACGGGACTAGCCCCGCATCTCAGCTTGTGTCTACACAAACCACCATCGTGGCAGACAAAAGACTGGTCGGACTTGAGCGATGGCTGATGCAGTGTCTAGAAGGGTGGAGCGAAACGCGCTAAGGGTACCGGCTGTGATGGGTGTAAGTATGGCGAGGTGGTTTCCAAGTCAAATCAGGATGCACAATGAGGAATTAGTGAGGACAAGCAGACGAACATGTTGGTACGAAGGCTAGAGACAAAATTCATCCGACTGTGTGGTTATCCTCTTGGCTGGGTCGTGCCCATGATGTTCATCGATCAGTTGGCGTGAACAGAGGTCCGCAGCGGTGGGAGAACGAGGCCAGGGCCGGGTACTGTCCATGATGCCGGACCAGTCGGTCGGATAGTCGACAGAAATGGGGCCGCATGTTGCAGGGGACATCGATGTTTGTTAGCTCGCGGTACTAGGCACAATGGCTCAATATTGTCGTGTTGACGCCAACTCTTGACCGCTCGCCTGAGCATGCTCGTCGCGGGCTGCTGCACATGCTCGTTTGCAAGTGCCGGGCATTGGGGCGAAGCAGAGCGTGCGTGTGTGTATGTACTTGGTCTGTAGAGTCAGACGGCGCTCCGGCGATGGAATGGTATGCGAGGTGACGGGCCTTTGGTCACGTCAGGGTAACTGATACGAGATATTGGACGCTGCAGAAACCAGCGTGTTAGCCGATGCGCTAGGCCAGGAGAGGCAAGGCTGAGCTAGCCTGTCTGGGCCAAGCGCGTCCGTTTGGGGCTGGTGGCGTGGGCGCGGTGCCTGAAAATCGCTACGCTTGTGAGAGTTGATACAGACTATCTCCCGCACTTGGCAACAGGACCCCAGCCGACATGGACCTGTTCATTGTTCGTCTGATAAGCTTTGGCCTCAGTCTCTCTCCCCATGCTATTCTGGGTAGGCTTTTTTAACGCCCCCATGACCGCCCTCCCCAACGCCTTCGGTGAGGGCGACGTATCCAGCTGCCGGCCGCGTCTGTGGCTTGACGACTCGTACCACTTTGGCAATGGCATTCCCTGCACATCCCCATCGGCACACAGCCCTGGTACCTTTCGGCATCACTGAGTGTGTACGCCACCAAAGTCAACAGCCCACGGCTCCACGACCCATTCCCCATCTTTCCCACTCGCCGTGCTCACCATGGCCTCCCGATCTGGCAAAGTCGTCAAGCCTCGCCGTCACAGAGCCCAGCTGCCTGCCTGTCGCCCGGGCTTTGGGGCATGGCTAGCAACACCAGCGGCTTGCTGCTAGCACCATGCCGCTTGGTCCAAGTTTTGAATCATGGCTCTATCACGATACTCTTCCAACTGGTATAAGTACGACGTCCCATCCCGCTGGTTGAAGATCATCATCCAACGCACCTCACAACATCCACTCCCAACTCACTTCATCTCCTCCAAACTCATCCTTCAAGATGCGCAACGTTCTCCTCGCTGTTTCCGCCATCAGCGGTTTGGCTTCCGCCCTTCCCCAGAGGCCCAACTTTGAGGCTGCCAAGGCTGTTCCTCTACCCAACATTGACCTCCTTAAACCAAATGTTGATGCGAAGCCAAACGCCCCAATCAAGTACAACCAGCCCGCTGCCGTGCAAGATGTCAAGCAAGATGTCAGCAGCAACGGTGTGCAGACCAGGAAGCGCTCTACCTCGTGCAGCAGCGGCACTGCAGAGCCAGGAAGGTAGGTCGAGAATGTAGAATCTTATTGTCAGTCAAGCCAGCTAACCATTGATGTAGTGGTGCGCCTGTTCCCGGCGATGGCTCTGTTGGAGCCTACACTGACTCCGGAAGCGTGCTCAACAGCAATGCTGCTCAAGCAACTGCTCCCAGTGGCTACGTCGAGGCTTTCAAGGGCCTTAACAATGCTACCCAACAGATTGGTTACTTGACCTACAAGAACATTGACGGTGCCGACTACAATGTCCAGGCATGCGCCGACTTCTGTGATAGCGAGAATTTCTGCCTTGGCTTCAACATTTACTACGAGCGTGATCCCACATACACGCCGACCTCCTCCTGCCCGGATCCTGTGGCCCAGACCAACCTCAAGTGCGCTCTCTTCGGATACCCTGTCTCCGCAAACACGGCCATCAATGCTGGCCAGTACCGTGAGCAATTCCAAGTTGTCATTTCCGGCAGCAACGGTAAGTTTGCTTTGTCCTCTTTCAGTGTGTTTAGCTTACATCAAAACAGGATACTCTAAGCAACAAGGTACTGTCTGCAGGAATGCTCCTACCGTATCCAGCTTCGATGCACCAACCCAACTTCCCGCTGCTATCGACGCACCTTCCATCACCAAGAACGGCCAGCAATACAGCACCTACAATGGCATGCGCCTCTTCAACGAGAACCCCTACGACCCCAGCCTTTGCGCTGCTGCTTGCCAGGCCCAGACCGCTTTCGATAAGGAGCACCTCGTCGATTCGAACGGCGAGTACAGGCCATGCAACTTCTTCACCTCTTACATCTTGACTCAGAACGACGTTCCTCTCGGAACATACTGCGCCTTCTACACTCAGACCTGGGGCGCTCAATATGCCACCAACACTGGCTACTACTGGGAATCCGATGTGTACCGCACCATTTGCGCTGCTTCGTACAGCCTTACTGCCCAAGACAGCGGCATCGCTACCTCTAACTAAGAGGCATAACACGAATTGGACGATGGGATGAAACGGGGCTGTGGATGACGGCTACTAGGATGTTACGCATAATGGTTGATTTTTGTTTAATGATCTAATGCAATGGCTCTTTTAAAATATCTTCATCTTCTTTCTTTGGTGATTGTGATCAGTGGTATTATTCACAAGATAGTGGCAGCATGAACGGGCAAGCTTATCATCAAGTTGGCATCAAATCAAACGATAGCTTGTGCATGCTAACTTTCCATTTGTATCTCGAGCATCCTCCGCGAACTCGTCCGGATACTATACGGGCTCACTTCCACGCGCATAGTTGGTGACATTACGAAGCAATTGCGGTACAGGATGTGGGTAGCATTAGGCGTACCACCTTCCGTAAACAGACTCGACGCCAGGACCCAATCAGAATACTCCAACGTGGCCCGCACCAGCGATCCTTTGCAACCATGGGAAAGTATGATGACAAATATGTACAACCGGTCAAGATGCAAATGGAATAAGAACTTGCAATGCCCACGTGTAGAGCAAATCTAGAACGGACTGGCATCGGCTTTCCAACCAAACATCTAACTTCCAAGGCTTCTAATCTAGTGACCACTCATATCCATCACCAGTCCAAGAAATATGTCTAGCCAACCAACCGTCGTCCTGATTCCAGGCTCTTTCTGCTTTGGACATGCCTACGACGCAATTGCCACGCCTCTCCGTTCCAAAGGCTACGACATCCAAGTTCTCGAACCGCCTTGCTACCCCGCAGGCTACGAACGCAAATCCGATGGCGCACCACCGAACATGTACGCCGATGCCCGGTATATCAACGAGCATGTGGAGAAACTAGCAGATGAAGGCAAAGAAGTCGTCCTCGTGGCCCACAGTTACGGCGGTACGCACACATCACTTGCCCGGATCCGCAACCTTGAAAGATGTGCATATGGCTGATGACAACACGTGACTACAGGCGTCCCAGCAACCGAGAGTCTTAAGGGAGTAACCAAGAAAGAACGCGAGCAGCAGGGTAAACCAGGTGGCGTAGTCCGCATTGGCTATCTTACCGCGCTGGCACCGCGGCTCGGTGAAACCGCTTTCCAGGTGCTTGGAGACCAGGGCGGTGCTGTTCCTTCTGCTGGCGAAGTAAATCCTCCCCTCCCCCCCCCTAATGCCTCCCTCCCATACCTGCTTATTAACCTCCCCAAACTAACATGAACAAAACTTTAAGGACGGCTGGATGTACCACGAAGACCCGGCCCGCGTCGCGGCCCTTATCTGCAGCGACCTCCCTCTCTCCGACGCCGTCGCCCAAGTCGACAAGATGGGGCGCCACTTTGGAGCCTGTTTCATTGACCCTCTGACACATTCCGGCTACAAAGACGTGCCTGTGTCGTGGTTTTTTGCGGAAAAAGATCTCGTGGTTGTGCCACAGGCGCAGCAGATGGGGGTTGACGCTATCGAGGCGAGTTGGGTGGGGACAGAGAGGGAGGGGAAGAAGGTCGATGTTACGAGGGTGGAGTGTGATCATTATCCGCTTGTGTTGGAGGATAAGAGGGCGAAGGTTGAGGCGTGGGTTGAGGGACTTGTGGAGAAAGGTGGGAGGGATTGAGGGGGTTTGAGAGGAAGGTGTTGGACTCTAAGTATGTAGGCATGTAGTAGTTAGTTTTATGTACATGTGCTGCACTTGAAATGTTGAGACAGTTTCTGTGTCTTTTCTTCTTCTTCTTCTTCTTCTTCTTCTTCTTCTTCTTCTTCTTCTTCTTGATTTGCTATGGGATTGTAAAAGAGGCATGGGGAATTTGTATGTCTGGATCATGTCATTATCATCACGCTTAAAACAAGAGTCTTAAAAACATCATAAATTGCACGTGCTGTTGATTGAATTCCTCAACTATTCACGTTCCTTCTCAATTCTGACTATTCAGTATATCCACGCATTTTCTTGTTTTCTCCATTATCTCCGAACTCCCCCTTAAACCATATCCCCCACAATGCTTCTTTCATTCTCTATCTATTTAGACACCATCATACCTTACTCCCCAATAAACCGATGCTCCCCAACCTCCAGTACCTCGATCCTATCCCCAACAGCCACACTCCCCTCGTCCAACGGCGTAACCTGCATTCCCAAGCACGCATGGTTACTCCCTTCATCAATAATCCTATAACTTCGCAACGTAGTCAACGGCTCATTGCGATCCGGCTCTGCCGTCTTCTGATCGACATTCGGCAGCTTGCACCTTGTTGTGTGGCACGAGACATGGATATTGAGAGAGGATTCGGAATTCGACGGTGATGAGATTTTGGCTTTTTTCCAATTGTCCTCAGCAAAGGCCGGGGGGCCGGTGATGTAGAGGTTTGCGCGGAAACGCATGGCGTCGAGAAGGGTGAGCCTGTTTTGCCAAGTGTGCTTGGATTTTGGCTGTTTGCCTGGGAGTTTGGAGGCTACGTCGTGGACCGAAGCCATGTTCATGATGTGTATTGGGTACTGTTTATGTTTTGTTAGCCGAATGCCTGGTCGAGTTTATTCTTGCTTTGCATGTTCAGGGAATGAACAGATAGTAAAACGTACAGAGTCTTGCATGCCAATTATGGTCTCAAATCCCACGTCTTCTTTCTTTGGTGCGTTTTTGCCGACTTCTCGATAGGCGTTTGTGTCGATTCTAAATAGTGCAATGGGGTTCGCCGCACCCAGAGTGTATCGAAGTTTTTCAAAAACCTCGCGGTCGACTTCTGAGGTCATGTTCAGGGCAACGGGAGTGTCCTTCCAGATTTTCAAAACTTCTTTCGTGTATCCTTTGCTCTTGATTCTATCTTGAGGCGGGTTGAATGGCAATCTGAATTCCAGTGTTGGTTCGGATTTGCCGACCAGTTTTGCTGCCATGATTTTTCCATAGTTGGCAAGGCCTTCCAGGGTGAAGTCGGTGTCTGGTGTAAATGGGAATCGGATTACAAGACAACCTCCACTTTTTACCCATTCCCCGTCTTCCTTATAACCTCTTGCTGATGGATCAGGCACCCACATTTCCGTCTCGACTTTGGCCAGACGGGGGAAACTTCGCTGGGTCATGAATTGCCATTCACTTGAGACTTTTCCATCCAAAGATGGCAGGCTAGTAACTTGTTGGGCGAGAGTAAACTGGCGGTCGTATTTCAGCCCAGTTCGAATGACTTCGGTTTTTTCCAATTCAATCGGGCCACCGGATTTCAACGGATAGATGAAGAGTGCTTTTATGGACCATGGCTTTTCTGGGGTTGGGTCGCCGCCTTTGGCATATCTCTTAGAGTACTGGTCTTCAAGGTTGCTGCGTCCTTTGATTCCAAGTTTCCGACAGCCAGCTGGTGGAGGTAGTGCTCTGGGAGACTGGAGGACGCCAAGGACGAGCAGAATTGCAAACGGCAGCAAGCCTACTATCCCCGCGAGCAGTATCCTCTCCATCAATACGTTGTCCTCGCTGTCTGCGAGAAAGAGAGTTTTGGCCATTTTGGCGAAAGTGTCGCGTGGCCAATGGAGGTGGGTAGATATAGAGCGTCAGAGATGTGGCTCTTATCGTGAAAACGCCGAGCCTCAAGCGTAGCAAAATCCGTCAACACTAACGCATAGGAGGCAGGTGTTGATTTGGGGGCGTAGAGAGCTAGTTCACTACCAATGTGCTCTACCCTGAATCGCCTTGGATTCCTGCTGATGGATGGTTGCTGTAGGCACCCATTGTATTAGGTGAGAAGGGGAGGCTCGAGTCATGTGCCATGGGCTTGGTTGTGCTCGTGACATCGTGCTATGAGCGCATCGACCGAACGCCACTCACTACGCGCCCTCTGACTAAGTACACCGCGACTGCTATGTACCCACTACAACACAGTTACAGAAAGGTGACGACTGTGCAAGACGTAATGCTCAATACAGGAAAGTCACGGGACAGCTGCAACCTCGCATACTCTCGCTGAAGCTTGCTCAATTGCATTCCCCACTACAATGGCCGGCGAAGAAGTCTCACAGCTGTCGCCCTTGTCGCGTAAGTTTGCACACCCCGCACACATTTGCTTATACATATACTCATACATGCGATAGATAGGCTACCAACCGTCTCCGCATCCCAAGCCCTCCAAAACTTCAACGCACGCGGCGCCCGCACGGTATCAACAGGCATCACACAGCTTGACAAGGTCCTTTCAGTGCCAGCTCCTCTGGGCCATGATGCTTCAGGCGGATACACACGCGGCAAAGTGACTGAGATCTTCGGCCCATCCGGGGTCGGCAAGACAACATTCGGGTAATTGTGACTGCATTGCACACTCGGGAAGACGGCGATTGAAAGGCTTCCAGGATACAGGCCGCCGTCTCGGCTCTGCGCGAGGGCCAGCGGGTAATATGGGTTGGTGAGTACATGTAGAGGGCAGAACTATCTAAATTTTGGATTGAAAGGCTAAAGGTTTCCAGATGCTGCCTGCGCGCCTCTGGTGCAGCATCGTATCGACGATATCCTCGCTCCGTACCCAGACGAGATGCGGAGTCGTTTCCAATATACCATGGCACCTACGCTTGCGCATGTCGTGGCGCTCTTCGTCCATCCGCCCGCTTCCTTTCCCCCGCAAAACACCAGCCTTGTCGTCATAGATTCACTCGCAACCCTCGTTGATAACGCATATCCCCGCCATATAGATGATCGGATTGCAAAGAATAGAACCGACCAGGCACGATGGGCTGCAGGACGTCGATTTACTATAATCAATGAATTGATTGCAGCATTCACCAGGTTTGCAGCACTGCACGACCTTGTCTTGCTTGTCACAAGCCAGACTATTACCCGTATCCGAGGTGCCTCACGCGCGCTGTTGGTTCCAGCAATCTCAGGGGTTGAGTGGGAATCCGGCGTATCCACTCGTCTGGTTCTCTTCAGGGATTGGGTTAGACACGGCAAACCTACTGACAAGTCGGACGCCGAAAGGTTGCAGAGAGCTCGATTTGCCGGTCTTGTGAAAACGAATGGTGTAGCCCTTGCAGATGAAGGGGGTGTCGGCAATGTAGTGGCCTTTACTATTGAGAAGGTAAGTCGATCCAACGTCCTTTAGGCTCGATCTACACAAACACAGTCAGACGCTCTCTGTGACGATCGCCTGCTGACGCGATGTAGAATGGTCTTTGCGACATAAGCATAGCAACCAACGACATTACAGCCCCTCTTCTTGTCCCGGCGGAAGGCCGGACGTCCAAGAGACCCTTCGCCGAAATTGATAAGGATGTCGCCGAGGAACCGAATTCGGATGAGCTTTACGGTTGGATGGAGGACGACGGAGTTGCCACTGAGGGGTTGTTGATTGATGAAGCACCCATTGATCAGGGTGACGTTACAACACCTCACTTGGATGCCATTGCAGATGGCCACAAGAACAAGGTAATACGGACTTCTCCTACACCCACCCAAGATTAAGAGATTAATGTTGCGTCCCGACAATGTGCGACACTGGTCCGTTCCCAAGGTTGACTGCACCACATGTTGGTGCTATTCGGAGAAAGTAAGCTTCCGTCTGGGGTAAGCTCGTACGGATGCCTCCCCCTTACTCTCCGGATTCCAGTGTCCAATCAATATGCAGATCTCGCACCCAGGTTAATGAGCCAAGCCGCCCACGGCCCACGGCACAGGTATCGCTATTCAGCCGTGTGGGGTTATTCAGACGCGCCGCACCCCGGAATATCATCCGCACCTCGTCCCGGCGCGGACTTTGACGCATTCGCCAACTGCTCTGACATCAGCAACAGAGCATATGTCTAAGCCACGGTCTAGTACGTCCCTTATCGTGAGGCTCAGCCCAGGTGTGCTATTCTTCCGCCGGCAAATGCGCCCGGCAGCTTTTGTCCACTGATCGCATCCCACATCCACACGTCTGGGTCTCATCTTGCCACACTAGCGGTATTCCGCTCCGACAGGCGAACAAAAGCAAGTGCGGGCTATCCGAGCATAACACACAAGTGTGTCACACCAGGATTGCAGCGCATTCATGTGTACTAGTTGCACGCAAGGATCGGGGAAGCACCCCCGGATCCAGACACTCGGTCTCCCTCACCGGTAAAAGTCGTCCCTTTTTTTGATGCTGAAGCTCTGGATGCTTCGCGAGTCTGGGGTCAGCGGGGTCGATGGTATGGGCTGGGCGTGGGGGTGTACGGCAAAGTTGCTCATGGTCACATATGTGCATGTTAGTGTGAAGTACTAGGTAGCCACACGAGTACACGATAATGAGCGGACCATATAAAAACGGCGGAGCATGGTATTCACGCCCATATCGTAACAAGCCATGAGCCCTGTGGCGCTTCGAGGCCCCACTGTGGCGCAATGTGACTTGGATTTGCCAAAGAAATACACATTTTCAATGCGGTTCTTGGCCGAACTACAGGTGTCAGACGTCCTTCAGCTGGGACTGGCGCATGCAACAATAGGGTATTCGTCCTTTCCCTTCACCGCTACTCAGCCATCGAGCGCTGCATCAAGGACGCAGATCGCCTTGTTTCAGCTCTATGGGCGCCTATCAGGCTCGCTTCGACAAGAGTGAGGCTTTATGAGCGAGAACTTGGGCGCATAGCATCGGCCGTAGCACGCCTACCACCACCAACTCTCCCTTTTCCGCCTAATATCCCAAGGCAGAAGGTCCCAACATCAACAAGGCAGCTCGTAATGTCACTGATTTCCCCACGCTTTCTCCGCATACAGCC